TTTGGGTATATTAATTATTGCCAGTTCCGGATATCCTGAGATAATGACAGAGATGATATTATTATTATTATTATTTTTATTGTCCTTATATGAAAAGAATTTACATAAAATAAATAGACAAAACTTGTCTATATTATTTAATGAAACATGCATCAATATATATATATATATAAATTTAGAGAGAGAGAGAGAGAGAGAGAGAGAGAGAGTCCATCTGGAAAAAATACATTGTCAGTGTTAATAAAATAATTCTTGCTGTTTATATATATCTTATATATATATCTTAGAAAGTAAAAACAATTTTTCCAACTCTCCAAATATACATCTCAAGAAACTCTTGGATAGTCTGTGTTTAGAAGCACGATTCATTTATTTGCTTGTCTATTTGACACACTGTAACCGTGAAATCTGATGACGGTCTCCCCCATCGGAATGCAGGTTCGAATCCTGCCGTAGGGAGCATATTTTCCAATAAGAGTTCTCGAATATTAAGGCTGGTAGATGAAAATATATAGGCATATTCTTTCATAAATAAACAAAACTTCTACTCAAGTATGGATAGCCACTAAAAAGTAATATTTCAGTAATTATATATATATATATATATATATATATATATATATATATATATATATATATATATATATCCCATATCGTTAAGATGTTATAGGTAATAATTTTTAATTCATGAGAGTCTAAAGAACAGCTCTCAATCTGCAAGACCTACAAACAAAATCACAAAAGATGATCAGAAAAGTTGATTTTGCTTCGAGGTCTGGAAGATTGAGAGCTGCTTTTTTGAGCTGTCATGAATTAAAAATTATTACCTATGGGATTTTAAGTCTTTGATATTCTTAATTAATAATAATTTTGTTCTGTCTTTTGATATAGATCTCTCCTGGATCTATATAATACTGGAAATTTCATACGGATTACCATATTATTATATATATATATATATATATATATATATATATATATATATATATATATATATATATATATATATACCCAAGTATATGATGGTGTATATGGAATGAATTCCAATAACCAACAATTACTATTCTTAAAAGAGTGCTCAATACAAAGTAGAGCAGATATAATTATTTTTTATAAAAAAAATTTATAACATAAATATGTTATAAAATCTCTACAAAAATAGCCATTTTGTTTCAACACCCTCGGCGTCTTATCAAGTGACGAAAGTTTCAAATTAATTAACAATCCTTCGCAAGGGGAAAATGTTGTTACAAAAGCGAGATTGACCAATCAAAATACAAGTATAGGAAAATTCAAAAAGCTTGACAACGAAGTCATGTTATAATATCTATTCAGATGTTTAAAATATGGGTAGTATTAAAAAAGAATTTATTCCAACCAATAATTACTAAATTATAAGATAAAATTTAATATTAAAATTAAAAACTGCTAATTTCAAAATCAAAATTTAATCGCTATTAAGTTTACAACTATGAAATTACTGAGGATAAAAGAAGAAATATATATGTTATTCAATTTATTTCTTCATTGATGTTACTTTAGCTAATTTTATATCCGGTCGTTTGACAATGTATTCATTTTAATCCTAAGAGTGTGTGAATGGGGTCCTAAACTCACGCGTAAAACAAACGCAATCAGATTATAATATATAAGCACCCAGACATATTTATATATATATATATACACACACAAAAAGAGACGAGACAGAGAACATCTCAACGGTCCTTCATGAAAAAAAAAAGAAAAAAGGGAAGTGGGGGGGGGAAGGAAAACCAACACACACGTACATACATACACGATTAAAAGTGAATGCACTTTCCATACACATAGACAATTATAAATACATGCACACACATCCACAGACATTGACCCAGACAATCGGATACAACAACCAATAAATATTTAAGACTGAAAGTGTCATTACACAAATGCTAACCACTTATTGAAATATAACTTAAGCGAGCAAATAAACAAAGATAAAAATTATTAAAAATAATATTATTTAATATATTAAAATAGTGTATGTAAATATAAAATCGGACATCAAAGTCAACACCTATAGGAAATGTTGTTCTACAGGTAATAATTTTTCATGGGGAGTCGACTTAATTCGCTTACGATAATTATTAATTATGTTGTGAAAGGGCCATTCAGATTTTCCTACATATTGTTTCTGGCATAGTGTGCATTCTAGGAGGTAAATTATGTTATGACTTCTACAGTTAGAATCGTGGTAGATTTTGTAAGTAGATTTAGTGATTGAGCTAATGAATGAATTCGTGTTTTTAATATGGTTGCAACATAAACTTCTTTTGTTGTTACATGGTTGGGAAAATCCTGTTGTTTTTGTTGTTGGTTTATTACGGATTACCTTGTCCCCTGAAATGTGGTTACTACCTATGATTTCTTTTAGGTTCTTAGGTCTACGATATGCAAGAAGGCCGGGTTCCTTAAACAATTTTTTTAGGTCTGGTTTGAGATGTAGTATCTCCCAGCGACGTTTGATTATTTGGGATAGTGGAGGCAGAGTGGGGTTGAAAGTGGTTACTAGAGGAATGCGGCTAGATTTATTTTTTAATCTTGTACATTAGGTGTCTTCTCTGGGTGTAGAAATTGCTTTTATTTATTTGTTCCCTGATTAGGTGTTGTTTATAGCCACGTGTTGTGAATTGATGCTCCAGATTTTCAATGTGTTTATTTAATTCTTCATTGTTGGAATATATCCTTCTGAGTCTAAATGCTGGTGAATAGGGAAGGTTCTCTTTGAGGTGTTTAGCGTGGGAAGATTTAAAGTGTAGATAGTTGTGGGTGTCGGTTATTTTAGTTTGTAGTGTCGTTTGTAGTTTCCTGTTTTCATCTATGTAAATGCGGGTGTCTAAAAATGTTACTGATGATGTGGATTTTTCATAGTCAAACTTAATTGAGTCGTGCACTGTGTTTAGGGTCATAAAGAATTGGGTAAGTTTGTCATCACTACCCGTGTATACAAAGAATATATCATCGATATATCTTGCATAGAATACGCAGTCGCTACCAATGATTGGATAGATATGGGTTTCCTCAAATTTTCCCATGAATATTGTAGCATATGATGGAGCTGCAATGGTGCCCATGGCACAACCTCTTATTTGAAGGTAGTGTGCTCCATTGAAGTAGAAAGTATTCAATGTAAGGACATGCTCCATGAGTTTTATGATGACTTCTGTGGGGAGGGGTCCTGTTTTCTTCCTTTAGTAAGTGCTTCCTGAAGGGCGTTTAGCCCTTCGATGTTTTTAATGTTTGAATAGAGTGACCTAACGTCCATAGTCACTAGAATAGCATTCTCTGGTACTGTTTGTATGTGATTAATTTTGTTCAGTATATCTGTTGTGTCTCTGATGTAGGATTTTACTTCCTTAGCTAGCGGTTGTATGTAATGGTCTATGTATTCGGAAATTTTTGTCGTGTGGAAGTTGAACGCTGAAATAACCAGCCTTCCTGGGTTGTTGCTTTTGTGTATTTTAGGAAGGAGATAGAAACGAGCAGGTGTAATGTTTGTGGGTGTAAGTGCTGTGCATGTTTCCTTGTCGATTAGATTGTTGCGAAGCATTATGTTTAGTGAGCTAGTTAATTCTTTTTGGTATTCGGGAAGGGGATCTGTAGATATGCTTTTATAGGTTTCTTTGTCGGATAGCTGTTTGTTGTTTGTTGTTATATTAATATACGTGCGTGTGTGTGTGTGTGTGTGTTTTGAACAATAAAAAATATTAAAATATTAAAATCTTCAGACAGACTGGATTTTATATTAATATTATTTCGTTTTTTATTATTTCAATTAGTTTCCCCGACTAGTTTCGACCAATATGGCCATCATCAGGAAACAAAAATTCTGCTTGCTAGATAGAGGCAGTGAACTACAGAAATGAATGTCTTCATGGAGAAAATGAACTTTTGTCTGTAGTTTTCATTTGTTTTTTTTTTAACATGAATTTTGGCCAGGCCTTCTGTTGGCCAAACAGAGTCTTTTAAGTTGTTATTAAAGATAAGAGCTGAATGGATTCATGCTGCTCTGAATTCCTTTAGTCATTTTGACAGTTTTATTGGTTCCTGAAAAGGGGATGTGTCTCTGTTAAATGTGTGTGTTATTTGGTTCTTAGGGAGTGAGTGAGTATGATGTGTGTAAGCGTGTGTATTGTTGTGGGTGTGTGTTATCATTTGGCTCATTAGGGA